TAGAAAAATTTAAATTAATGGGATATCCAGATTTTTTTTTGCATACAGAAGAGAGCAGGAATGCTTATATGTTGGCAACGAGAAGCTAAATGACAATAACAACTTGGTTGAGTGCAAGTCGAACAGTGCTACGTGCTTGTCGCCAACACAAGTTCAGCTAAGTAAGCTGGTAGGGTTTGTTGGACAGGAATTGCAGCATAAAGATTGGGAGAGCGAGGGAAGCAGATTGTGATGGTCAGAAGTGTTCGCATCTTGATGTTTCCACAACGCTCAGCGACTCGTCAGCTTCGCGTTTAAGTAACTTTCGAAACCACTCGGAGTGCAGTAGGCAACAGACGGAATGTGCGAAAATGGTACAATCAATTTGAGAAAAATGACATGAAGCAGCGTTTATATACAACACTGTGATTAGATAAAGAAAGTCATGTTTTTTACTTTTTACTGATCTTTTTATGCAGTAACTTGACTGTAACAGATTAACTACGGTCTTCCGACAGAAGACCTCGCCTGCGGGAAATCACTATGAATTGGAGTAAGCCAAATGGAAGAATCATACTACGTAACGCTCTCAATCAGTTTTAACGCAGCCGACTTTCAAGATCGAACCCCAACAACGTAATGAGAAAACGATCGCTGTTGACAATTACAGCTTTACTTTCTAGCACTAGGTCAGGAGGTATCCACTGCCCCAACACTTCCTAACAGCTTTTCTGTTAAAGCCATCGTAAAGGAACTTTCTGCAGCTATTGATGCGCCATCAATGCGAAAAATAAGCACTAAATTTACTAGCAGCAAAAGCCTCTAATTTTGTTACAGAAGTCGATGAACAGAAAAGGGAATGAAATTTTGCGTCTAAAATTATTTATGGCCATTTAAACTTCATCTTTTGAAATAGGACAGAGAAAAGAGAGTAGGGCAGGGCTTATTATAACAACCAGGAATGCAAAAATCGATGAGAACTAAGACGCCCCAGTAATTTAGCATTCCGACTGTTAAAATTTTCGTCAAAAAAGTGTGATTGCTGCCTTATTGTTTTTCCGCAAGAATAATCCATTAACGACTCTACAGCTCATACACTGACGATGTCTAACAATTACCAGCTAGAACTTAGGGCGAAGAAAACCACGCTCAGGAAGATGACACCAGAAATGATTACTCTTCCGATCCTAGTACCACTCTCGGACTACGCATCTTGGCAGCCGTAAACCGGGCAGTAATTTGGATATTTCAAGTTATTAAACTAGCTTCCTGTCCTAAAAGCCCAACCGTTGAGGCTCCTACAGCTCTGTTGAAGAGATAAAATATTTCCTTTAAAAACATTGTCAAGGAGCATTGCCAAACGTTAGTGATTAATTTGACTAATTCACTTGATTTATGTACAGTATCTTGGAACTGTCCTTCTGCAGTTCGATATGGGGTGGTGATGGCGTCGATGAACCTATACTGCTCACCGGAGGTTTATTGATTCAGTGTTCGGTGAATTTTAGTTAAGGAAGGCACCTCCTCATCATTTTGCTCATGTCTCAAGTGTTTGGTAAGCTAAAAATATGGTCCGGTACTTTCCACGTATTCTTTTACGGACCCTCGGTAAGAATATGCTATTACATTTACCATTCTGAAGAGCGGTTCTATAGTCCGTTTCGTCTCCAATTTGGTGCGAAAAATTTTTCGTTGTAGGATGAGAGCTACAGTGGTCCGATCGGCTGGCAACTCATTAAAAGCTGTGACCTACGTCCCCAATAGGCATTGTTTATCTGGTTTATTTTCGGAAACTTGCAGGTTTTTCAACACCATTCGGTTCCTTAGATTTGTAGCTATCGATCTGTTGCTATCTCATGCTGATCTGTAGCGTCGTTGCTGAGATATTTGCCGAAGTGTGAAGTTGAAGCTCATTTTTAAATTGCTTTTTTCTGTGATTTTGTATTCAAAACTGAGGATGTTTGGAACATACGATTTTTTTTTGTTTTTTGCATATAGGTTCCTCGAAGTGTGTTCTTCAGAAAAATGAAATTTAATCGGGGCGGCTTGCCGAGCTTTTTTTTTGCAAGTTTGCTTTTTGTTGAAGGAACTTTTTGCAAAGTGTGTAGGCATACAGCTGGACTGACTGAATATATCCGCCTAAAAATGAACTCTAATTTACTTTTTTCCTTTTTTAGGTGTTTTTAGATTTTTATTAATTTATGTAATGGTTGTCCTGTCTCTATGACGGTCATATGTATTATATATTATATATCACTATATATGGTAGTATATTTTACATATATCTCGAAATTTATTTGAATTTTGCTGACTAGTACACCCCAGGGTAGTGTAGAAAAAGCCGAAAAAAACCTGGAAAAGTGAATCCGCCGTCAAGTTACACAACCTCAAGGTTTCAAACTTTGCCAAGTTGCCAATTGACATGCCTATCATTGCAGACTAGTGATTT